CCCCCCGCCCGGCTCCTCTACCGCCCCGCCCCACCCCTTGGAGACCCGGCGGCGTTGCGCCTGCGCAGTGGCGCCGCGGTCAGCTGACTGCTCCGGCCGACACGTGACTCCCTCCGTGGGCCCCGGGGTCCAGGTATCCGTGAGGCAGGAGCCTGGCCGGGAGCGATGGAGCGCTGAGCCGTTAACGTCTGTCAGGCCGTCTGTGTTCCTTGTCTGGCGCCTGCTGGGTCCGTGAGCGGTGGCCGTGGCGGGAGGCGGGCGTGCGCTGGGAGTCGCGGGAGGACTGGCGGGCGCGGGCCGGGCCCGGCGCTGGGCTGCGGGTGCGCTGTCTGCTCTGGGCCGCTGCACCGCGACCTTGGGCCGGGCCATCTCCAGGACAAAGGACAGAAGGTCCCTACTGCTGGCTGGTGGCCGAGGCAGGAAGGAGCAGCGCAGCGGCCCCGGCCTCCTTCGTGGGTGGGGGCCGCAGTGAACGCGCGCCGCCTGATGGAGGGGTGGGAGGTGACAGCGGCCCAGCCGAGGACCGGGTCGGCTGTGTGAGGTCCCAGCCAGCGCAGGACCCTTCCCTGGGATGAGCTTGGTGTAAGCGGAGACGGCGGTTTAAAGGGCTGCGAGCCCCTCGCTGCGGGCGGGGGCTCCACAGGACATCAGGTCCTTCCAGGTAGGGAAGAAGAGGGATCCAGGGAACGCAGTTGGGTTTATTAGAATGGGGGAGGGCGGGCCATAGCTCCCGAAAGGGAACTTCCTCTTAAGGCCAGTTAAATTACCTGAGAGTCAGAGGAGCAACAGGGAAGCTAGTACACTTTGCAGAGGAAAAATCTGGTGTGTTAGGGGAAAATCCAGTGTCTCAGTGAGCGCTCAGTACTTAGCACTGTCTGGGGGTGGGTGGCTGTAAGTAGTCCAGCCTGGGGAGTTCACACTGATGCTGGGAAGAAAAAGCACAATGGTACGCGATAAAGTACCGCCAGGCTGTATATAATTATCAGAAAGAACGCAAAATGCTGTAAAACTGTGGAGTAGAGACTTGAACTGGCGCTGTGGGAGAATACCCTGGAGGAAAGACAACTTGTCTTGGCATCGTGGTATTTGAAGCTGTTGAGAGAAAGGAGGATTTTGTAGGCAGGAAGTACCACAGGATTTGAAGGCCTGAAGATGAGGGGAAAGTGTTTCTGAAGGAAAACAAGGGCAGGTTTGTGGTGGGTGGCATTGGGGAAAAATAGGAAATAAAGTTGGCATCAAGTAATGGGAACTTTTGAATGATATTCATTTACTTATTTCCTGTGGAAAAGCTAGGATCTCTGTTGTCAGAGAGCTGAGAGTCAGATGGAGGAGATAGATTTTAATAATCATGCAGATGTGAAATGTGCTTTTGGGCCAGGGATTTAGCTCAGTGGTTCCAGTGCTTTCCTTGAAAGCGCAAGGTCCCGAGTTCCATCCCTGGTCCAAAAAAAAAAAGAAATGTGCTTTGAAGTAATAACAGAGTGGTGTGAGAGTTTACCAGGAATATGAGTTTTAAGGAAGATTCGAAGGTGTTGCTGAAGATATAATGAGGGAATGTGAAGGTAGGAGGCAAAATAACACTCCAGGCTGAGGAAGCAGTGTGTGTCAAGGGCCTGGGGTATGGGGAGGTATAAAACTTGAAAGTTAGGCAAGGGCTGGGGTGGCTGGAAAGAGGATGTGTGGAGCAGCGATTCGAAAGGCGCGTGGGGAGAGCTGGCCTTTATTCTAAAGGCAGAGAGAAGCTTGTGAAGATTATAGGCAGTGGAGTGAATCACACTGTGGCCCTGAGAAGATGGTTTTGTGGGGAATATGGAGGTGGCAGAAGTGAACTTGGGGCCATTGTTATAATCCACTGAAGGATTCGAAGGCATCCTTCTCACTCCACCAAGGACTTAAGGAGAATGTTTAACTGTACTCACTTTGAGAGGGGTTAAGGAGTTGGGGAAGGGAGAGAATGATGAGGTGTTATTTGCTGCCTCCCTGAGCTTAGTTACAGCTCCTTCCTAAGCAGTCCTGAAGTACATACATAGAGCAGCTGGGCGCATTTTGGACTTGGTAGGAGATTCTTTGCAAAGCTGTTTTGGCCTTTCACAGATGCCTTTTACTACCATCTATTTCAGAATAGCTTTTATTGACATGTAGCCAGTCCCAGGGAGGACTCAGTTACCTTTCATGTTTATTTCATGCTCACAGGTTTCTGAGGGTAGTTGAAAATGCTCGTGTGAGTATAGATAGGAACCTATCAAGACTCTTGGAGCGGGAAGCCGGGCAGAGTGGTTTGCCTGATTCTGGCAGTATTTCCACCATCTTCTACCACAGTCACAACTGGAGAGAAGGAAGTGTTTTTCTTTGACTTGGCACTTTTGGTGAGTTTGTCTAGTAGTAGGATAGCTTCAGGGAGTTTGATGATAGTGGCCTGCACTTTAGAAACCACTTTTCTGTGAGCTTGGGTAAAACACCTCCACTTAGGTCTAGCTGGGGACAGTACGAGCGACAGGGTAGCTGACAGCACTCACGGTGTTGTCACAGTTCTCTGGCTGTCCGTGAGTCGAGAATTGTGCTGAAGACTGAGCCCAGGATTGTGTGAGACTGTGGGGTCTTTCTCCTGTTGGGCCTTCAGAGGCTGGACAGAAGAAACAGTAATGGGGCACTAACTAAACGCAGAGAGCGAGGGGATTAGTGCAATTCTGCTTTTAAAACTGAGTGGGAAATACTGACTTTTAAATTTTTTGATGTATAAATCTTAGGAGCCTTATTTATATTAGTTTTTAAACCCAAAAAGAATCTTCTGGGCCTCAGAACTCTGATTCTGTGATTATTTCAACTTACGACAATTCCATTGGCCAAAGAGAAAAGCTTTGATTTTCAGATGCCAGGATACCGGTTTGCAGGAGGGGTCTCCTTGCAGGCCAGCAGTCCAAAGCAGACAGGCTTCCTTTGGAGCTTGACTTTGTTTAGGAGTAACAAGGGTTTTGACTGAGTACTCCTGGTTAGAGTTTTGTTCTTACACACATTCTGATCTGTCTGCAGGATGCATCGTTTTCACCTTTTGGATGTGAAATTATATGTCATTTTGGTCATAAACTAATTCATGTTGTACTTCTATTTCACAGTGTTTTTAAGATGTAGAGCCAGGTGTAGTGGTGGCACACACCTCTAATCCCAGCACTAGGGAGGCTGAGGCAGGAGGATCACTGCAAGTTTGAGGCCAGCCTGGGCTACGCAGTGAGTTCGAGGCCAGCCTGGGCTACGCATTGAGTTCAAGGCCAGCCTAGACTACGTAGTGAGACCCTGTCTAAAATTTAAAAACCAAAACCAACCAAACAAATCAAAAAAGACATAGAAACTGTTAGCATGGTGTCCTTGGAAAGAGCTCAGGCACTGAACCAGGATAATCTAAAGTTTTTTGTTGACACAAATGATCCCTGGAACTAGAAATTTCGAACTATATTTTTGATAATGAGCAACATTCTTTTCCAGTGGGGAGTCTACTTCTAACATTACGCCATTGTGCAGATGCGTTATACAGAATGAGTCAGGTGGGTATTGGAGGGGAAGTGCTCTTGTTGCAGCTGGGAATAAAACATGGAGGATTGGCTATGTATCTGAAACAGCGGTGTGTTTGTGTGTGTGTGTGTGTGTGTGTGTGTGTTTGACAATAAAATGCCATGTGAATGCAGAAGTGATGTTTTATAGAAAGAGATGGAGATAACCTTTTCTTGGGTATTTTAAGCAGACTGTCAATGAGTAGGAAGTTATTTGTAAATTAGACTAGCAGGTGCATTAACTTTACCATGAAAGGTTTTCTTCGTGGACCAGCGTATAGTTGCGTGTTTCTGCCTGGGTGGTGGTGGCATTTTGGACAGGATGCTCTGTGTTTGTCCTCTGCCCACCTTGCTGACTCTAGAGCCTCCCTTCTATTTCCAAGTTCTCCTGGGGAAGAGGGCTACAATTTGGTTGCAAAAACATGCAGGCGGTGCCATCTTTTTTGGGTTTTTTTGGAAAGAGATTGAATGTTGCTACAGAGGTTAAGAGTAATATTTTAACGGATTGAGTATTTGATGTTTTGTTGCACCTCTTTCAGTACAAAATTACAGAAACTATAATGTTTGTGGAACTTCTCTGTAGCAGAAACTGCATGAATAGCTCAAACAGGTTCCCTTTCATTCTAATAAAATGTAGGCCTGAGCTGTGAGCCTTCAGTGGGCCATTTCCTTAGCTGTCCTTCATAATGCATTCATTCACTGGAGTGCCTGTCACTGCACACCGCACGTAGCACAGGTTCAGCAGTCACTTGCCCTTCAGTCTCAGGCTTACGGAACTGGGGAAGTGAGTTAAAGTCTCTGATGTGATGAGTTCAGGCTAGAACACATTGTAGCAGAGGTTCCCCCTCTTCAGTGGAATGAGGTATCAGATCAGTCATATTCTAAATGACTAATCCGAAAGACAAGGGAAGTAATGTTTCAAGAGCCATGAGTGTCATTCAGGGGATTCCCACGCAGGCACGGGAGGAGTGATTTGCTCTCTGGGGCACTGCGGAGTCTGGGTGCAGAGAAGTCTCCGATGATGACTTCCGGTCATGGCCTACAGCGCCCCCATTGGGCGTCTGCCGGATCCTCCAGCCTTGCTGGAAATGCCCAGAAACTCCAGCCCGGTGCTTGTGCACCGCCTCCTCCTCCTCCGCCCCCACGTTTCTAGGCCCTGTGATGGGCATCTGTGTGGAAGTAAGGCTTTCCCCTCACAGCGTTCTCTTGTCAGCCACGGAATGAAAAGGTGGTAGTTTATAAGATTCATCTGTTAGAGATGAGATTTTCTTTTATATATAAGTATACTTACAGCATGAAATTCAGATAGTCTTAGTGGGATACAGAACATTTGAAAATAGTAATTTCAGTTGCAAACAAAACATGCAGACTTTAAGATTTATTTAATGAAGATATATGTCCTGACAGTTTTAAACTTTACTTCTGTATGAATCATGGAAATACTTCTTGAAAGGTACAGTCCCCCTGTTAGCGACTGGAAATATGTAAAACAGTCCCTGTGAGCAAGCCCCTCCCACAGTCTCATGAAGATGCTGCCATTTTGAAGGATAAACTGTACATTGGAAAAGGAAAGTTATCTGTATAGTATTAATGATTTTTAGGGTAGGATGTGGGAAATTTTAAAATGAATGGTTTGTGGTAAATGTTCTGATATAAATTCTGCTGAAAGTTGAAGTTAATAT